ATTCGAACCCTGACCATCTCTGGATATCAACAAATTGTGGCATGCATCTTTTCGCACTCAGCTACACCCAGGCATATAAATTTCAAATGTTGAATATCCATCAACACCACAGTACTCGATTTGTACGGATAAACATGTACTATGTATGAATGTGGGTATTGTCACCGCTCTCAGAGCGGCGCTCTGCATGCTTGGGGTGCGTATGTACACTCATATATACATATACTCAGATGTGAACAGTCAAATACGTGCGTAATAAATTTTGTATGAAAATATTATTTTTAAATTCGAACATTTTTGAACGATAATCAAATATAAAGTATTCATTTTTACTATGCATTATATCCCTCAGTGTACTGGGAAAGTGGGCGTGGCACGTCCTATACAAACTGAAGTTCTCTTATCGGTCATCTCTGCAGCCGCCTGTGCTAACATCCTGAAATTTGACACAGCAACATATGTTGTCAATACCGCCCATACAAACTGCAAGTCTCATATCGCTTAACTCTGGAAACGCTTATGCTGACGTCCTGAAAATTGACACAGAAACATATGTTGTCAATACCGTACTTACGGCGAAAAGTGGTAGATTTTGGAAAAGGGGGCGTAGCACCGCCCATACAAACTGCAATTCCCATATCGCTTATCTCTGGAATCGCTTATGCTGACATCCTGAAATTTGACACAGCAACATACATTGTCAATACCGTACTTTCGGCGAAAAGTGGTGGATTTTGGAAAAGGGGGCGTGGCACCGCCCACAGAAACTGAAATTCTCATATCGCTTATCTCTGGAACCACTTATGCTAACGTCCTGAAATTTGACACAGCTATTTACGATATCAATAACCTACTTATGGCGAAAAGTGTAGATTTTGGAAAAGGGGGCGTGGCACCGCCCATACAAACTGAAATTCTGATACCGCTTATCTCTGGAACCGCTTATGCTAACGTCCCGAAATTTGGCACAGCGCCATTTATGATACCAATAACGTACTTATGGCGAAAAGTGGTAGATAATGGGAAAGGGGGCGTGGAACCACCCATACAAACATATTTTGTCAATATCGTATTTATGGCGAAGAGTGGTAGATTTTGGAAAAGGGGGCATGGCACTGCCCATACAAACTGAAATTCTTATATCGTTTATTTCTGGAACCGCTTATGCTGAGTCCTGAAATTTAGCACAGCAACATATGTTGTCAGTACCGTACTTTCGGCAAAGAGTGGTCGATTTCGGATAGGGGGCGTGGCACCACCCATACAAACTGAAATTCTCATATCGATTATCTCTAGAACCGCTTTTGCTGACATCCTCAAATTTGGCACAACAACATATGTTGCCAATACCGAACTTTTGGCGAAGAGTGGTAGATTTTGGATAGGGGGGCGTGGCACCGCCCATATAAACTGAAATTCTCATATCGCTTATCTCTGGAACTGCTTATGCTAACGTCCCGAGGTTGCGCAGGGATAAAACATATTTATAATCAGATTCGTTTCACTTTTAGAACACATATTAGTAACATAAAATTTGGTGTAACTTGGAAGCCCAGGTGATGAAAAAATATTGGGCTTTGGCCCGGTATTGAGAAAAACCCGTGTGAAACCGCCGTTAGAAAAGGAAATATTATCTTTTGTTGTAAACATTCAAGATACGTTCTCAACCGTTAACGATTCTGATGAAAAAAGAAAGAGTTTGTGTAGATGTGCGCAATTTAGTTTTTAACCTCCAACAGGCTCTCAAACAAATATAATCGAAAAACTTATTTACAGTCTGAATTGGTATATGTTTGACATATTAGTCAGTGGTGAACATCTCATCTATACATGCTAATACATATGCATATTTTTTACAAATGAAAATCGAGTTTCCTTTTTCGGTCTAATTTTAAAAGCTACTGAAGAAATTTTGGAGGAGACTTGATATAATTAGCATTAATCAATCAGGTCTTAAAGATCATAATTTGATCTTAAGTTTTCTTGTAAATTCGCTATAAATTATGCTGGTGGACTTCAAAATAGTAATTCCCATAAAGGAGTTAGTATTGGTGACAGGTAAAATTCAAAAGTGTACGAAAAAGATGTCGAATTTCGACAACTGGGCGATACTAGTTCATATAATTGCGGACATTTATGTTTAAAGTCTTATTATCAAAATAAATAAGTAATTATAAAACTTTATTTCATTTCAAATTAAACTTTATTTGTTATCATCAACATCATCAGACCTTCCCATTCATATATTTATACATATATATTAAATACTTGATAATTAACTATGTGAGCATTCTTAACACTTTTCAAGGGGTGGAGCATCTATATGTGTATGTATATACATATGTACGTATGTGCGTATGTATTAGTGATTAGACATCCGCGGATGCGAATGCGGATGCGGATGTCATGTATTTTTAAGAAAAAATTAGGTTAGTAAATTAAGTTATTTAGGTAAATAAAAACAAGTAAGAGCAGCGCTGTCTTCGGCTATGCCGAAGGCTTCATACCTTTCATGAATATCTGCAAATTTTACTTTGACAGATTACTGCTTTTGAATACATCTGCATACATCGATAGAGGAGTTACATACTTATATAAAAAATCGCATCTAAACAATCAGAGGTATGGAAGATATACTTTATATGGCACCAATCTAAGTGATTTTCACTGCTATGTGATCGGTATGTAAACCGGTAACACAATTTATTGGGTTTAGTTTCCTACATAAAGGAGATATATGGCAAAAACTGGTATCTGAACAATCAGTGCTATAGGAGGTAAAGCTTATACAGCATAGATTTTGATGATTTTCTCAGTAGACTTTGTATTATTATTTATAAAATATCTTACGAAATTTATCGGTTTTAGCTATTCAAATAAAGGAGTTTTACCGTAAAATCCCATATCTGAACAATCAGATGTATGGAAGATATATGTTGTAGTCATCCGATCCTTGTTATTTTCACTGTAAGTATTCTGTAAATAATGAGTGAAAGTGGTGCGAAATTTCATGTTCCTAGCTGCATAAATGGAGGAGTTATGATAAAAGACCTCATATCTGAACAATCAGTTGTATGGGGTCTGCAGGTTATAGTGACCCGACCTTTGTTATTTTCACTGTAAGTCTTCTGTTGATAACTATTGAAAACAGTGCGGAATTTCATGTTCCTAGCGATATAAATGGAGGAGTTATAACGAAAAATTTTATATCTGAACAATCAGTTGTATGGGGTCTATAGGTTATAGTGACCCGATCTTTGTAATTTTCACTGTAAGTATTCTGTTGATAATGGGTGCAAGTACTGCAAAATTTCATGTTCGTAGCTGCATAAATGGAGAAGTTACAACGAAAAATCCCATATCTGAACAATCAGTTGTATGGGAGCTATAGGTTATAGTGACCCGATCTTTGTAATTTTCACTGTAAGCATTCTGTTGATAATGGGTGCAAGTGCTGCGAAATTTCATGTTCGTAGCTGCGTAAATGGAGAAGTTATAACGAAAAATCTCATATCTGAACAATCAGTTGTATG